TGATTGGAGTCCTCTTGAGGTTTAGGCAGGAGTCTGTAGCAGTCATGGGTGACATACAATCAATGTTTCATCAGGTTCGGGTGGCAGAAGAGGACCGGGACTTCATTCGTTTTTTGTGGTGGCAGAACGGAGATTTTACAAAAGAAGTGGCAGTGTTTCGTATGAATGTCCATCTCTTTGGAGCGGTCTCGTCTCCGAGTTGTGCTGCCTTTGCTTTGAGAAGAACAGCAGATGAACATCAATCTGAGTTCCGAGAAGAGGTTGTTCAAACTCTCAAAGAAAACTTCTATGTAGATGATTGCCTTAAGAGTGTGGCATCTGAAGATGAAGCAGTTTGCTTAGTTGAAGATCTTTCCATTCTTTGTCAGGGAGGGGGTTTCATTCTGACAAAATGGAGTAGCAACAAGCGCACTGTCCTGCAAACCATTCCCGAAGAGCACCGAGCCAAAGAGTGGAAGGAGCTTGATCTGGACAGGGACAGCCTGCCAGTTGAGAGAGCACTTGGATTGCTTTGGTGTGCGGAAACTGACTCATTTAAGTTCAAAATGGAGGTCCAGGAGAAGTCCTGCACAAGACGTGGGATGTTGTCGGTTTCCAGCTCCGTATACGATCCACTTGGGTTTTTGGCACCAGTTGTGCTACCTGCTAAGATCATGCTACAGGAGACATTTTGCGTGACTGGACAAGGTGGTTGAAGGAGCTGAATGCACTGTCTGAATTCAAAGTTGAGAGATGCGTTAAGCCCATAAGCCGTGGGTCTTGCATGCATGCTCAGCTTCATCATTTTTCAGACGGAAGTGAATAAGGGTATGGCACAGTCACTTACCTTCAAATCCAGAATAGCAACAATGACATTCATATTGCCTTCCTCATGGGCAAGGCCAGAGTAACACCTTTAAATGTCATCACTGTTCCCCGTTTGGAGTTAACTGCTGCTGTGCTTGCTGTTCGTGTTGACCTGATGTTAAAGAAAGAGCTGAGGCTCCAGTTGCAAGAATCTGTCTTTTGCACAGACAGCACATCTGTGCTTAAGTATGTCATGAATGAGGATAAGCGTTTTCATACTTTTGTTGCCAACAGAGTCTCCATTATCAGGGAAGGCACAAAGACATCACAGTGGCGATATGTTGGCTCAAAGGAGAATCCAGCTGATGATGCATCCAGAGGAAAAAGGGCTGGAGATTTTATTAAGAAAAACAGATGGATAGAAGGCCCCACGTTTCTGTGTAAACCAGAAGAGGATTGGCCCAAAAATCTTGTACAGACTGCAGTAGGGGTTGACGACCTCGAAGTCAAGAAAGAAGCAATAAAATGTGTATTTTTGTAAATGTGGTAAATACTCAAGGTTCACTGAAGGGTACAGATTGGCTGATGGCTTACTTTTCAGATTGGAGGAAACTTCGAGTAACAGTAGGCTTTATGCACAGCTTCACTACTTCCTGAACTTCAGCCAGCCCTTTGTTTCCTGTCTGTCATTATTGGACAAACTGATTAATCCAGGTGTGCCTGATTATTGTTACTGAGGCCAGGCGCACCTGGATTAATCAGTTTGTCCAATGATGACAGACAGGAAACAAAGGGCTGGCTGAAGTTCAGGAAGTAGTGAAGCTGTGGCATAAAGCCAGTTGGCTGGTTGCTTAGGTTGAAGAGGATATTATTGTTGAGAAGAACTCGCAAAAGGATGGAGCCAGATATTGCTGATGCCAACAAGCAGAGTGCTTTGGTGCAAGAGAGTCAGATCGTTAAAGATGCAACAGGAGGACAAATCTTGTCAGCAGAAGATCTTATGGAAGCGGAGCTGGCTATAATCTGCTACTGCCAACAGCAAAGATTCCCTGAAGAGATCGATGCTTTGTCTTCTGGGAAGGATATAGTAAGCAAACAGAGTTCCATCTATAAGCTGGACCCATGGTTGGATGATGGGCTTTTGAGAGTCGGAGGGCGGCTGACACGATGCTCTTTGCCAGAAGACACAAAATATCCACTACTCCTCACTAAAGATCAGCATGTGTCTACCCTTATACTGAGGGATTTACATCAACGGCTTGGCCATAGTGGGCGTAACCACATGTTGTCTACGTTAAGAAGAAGGTATTGGATCACAGGTGCCACATCAGCTGTGAGAAAGATCATAGCAGAATGTTGTTTCTGTAAAAGATATAATGGTCGGATGATGGGGCAAAAGATGGCCGACCTGCCCAAGGAGAGGATTCTGCCAGACCATCCGCCATTTACCAACACAGGTGTTGACTATTTTGGACCAATAGTGGTGAAGAAGGGAAGAGGCACAGCGAAGCGTTATGGTGTCATCTTCACCTGCTTGTCCAGCAGAGCAGTTCACCTTGAATTGGCCATTTCTCTTGACACGGATGCCTGTATGAATGCTTTGCGTCGATTTATCAGTAGAAGAGGGCAAGTGGAGCATCTTCTATCAGATAATGGTACAAATTTCATAGGGGCAAAGAGAGAACTTAGGGAAGCACTTTCATCATTGAATCAGGCTAACATTCAAGGAGTTTAATGCCAGAGGGGCATTAAGTGGAGTTTCAATCCTCCTGCTGGGTCCCATTATGGTGGGGTTTGGGAGCGGGTCATCCGCATGTTGAGGAAAATCCTCACTGCAGTTCTCCAACGGCAGATGCTTGAAGATGATGGTTTCCACACAGTCTTGTGTGAAGCTAAGGCCATTTTAAATGATCGACCAATCACAAAATTGTCTGACGATCCAATGGATCTTGAAGCTCTGACCCCTAATCATATCCTGTTGCTGAAAGGAAAACCGACATTATCTCCTGGATTGTTTGATGTACATGATTTGTATATAAAAAGAAGGTGGAGACAGGTCCAATACATTTCAGATCTCTTTTGGAAGAGATGGGTGAGAGAATACCTACCTTTGCTGCAGGAGAGGCAGAAATGGAATAAAACTAAGAATAGCCTCAAGCCTGGAGACATTGTGGCCATTATGGATCCAACGGCGCCTCGAGGCTCCTGGCCACTCGGAAGAGTTTTGGAAACATTCCCTGACAAAAAGGGGCTGGTTCTTTCTGTGCGTTTACAAACTAAGACCAGTGTTATAGACAGGCCTGTAGCAAAGCTTTGTTTTTTACACGAGTCTATGGGCTAAGGGGTTTTGTGATAAGCGTCATGTGTGTTTATTGTGCTCACTATTTGTGGCTCTTTGTTATGTATTGGGAATTGGTATGTTTGATTCATCCCAATTAGGGGCCGGTATGTAAGAGCCATTTTGTCTTTATTTAAACCTTATGCAGGTGTGTGTCCAGTAGGGGTCTCTCTTTGGGTAAATGGTTGCTGAATATAGGTAGGAACCTTCCTTCAGGTGACATGTGTTGCTGGAGGGAAGGTGCACAGTTTTTTGACCGCTAAGCTATGCTACACTGAGCTATGATGTGCCATGCTGTGCAGTAGGAAATCTGCCAGGGTGAAGAAATTGTAACTGTGGATTTAATGACTGTTTGTTGGACTCTTGCTTACTGGAAATGAGGACCAGTCACGGTAAAATAAATCTACAATGTAAGCATATTAAACTTGGTGTGGACATTGCTGTGAATAACAACCCAAGCGAGCGCGTCCATTAACAAGCACCGTCCAACAGCCATCAGCTGCTTAAAGTAATAGACTTGGCTGCTTACAGAAACAGTTAAGACCCCAATATACTTCAAACGGAATTGAACGATGAAAGGGAATGACGCCATTTTGAATAAAATCTGGCAAAAGCAGGGGAGTTTTAGTGGTTCAAATTACATCATTTAAGATTATATATAGGCGGGTGTGCTCAGGGGGTCCAAATGTCTTTACTCAGGGTTCGTTCACACGACAACGATGTACTGAAAACAGAAACGTTTTTCCTTTGCATTTTTCACGTACAGGCAACAACGGGAAAAACGTTAAAACGCTGCATTCTGCTTCCAGGCCAGTAGTTGGCAATGTCACTTTGTGAAGAAACTATGCGTTCATAGACTGAACACATGTGCACGATGTCACCGTTTTCACTAATTTATGTTGTTGTAGTTTACAGAGATGATAACGGTGTCGTTTTCCAAAACTTTGACACTTTCGTGTAAATGAATGGGAAAAACCCCAAAAAGGTTTCAGTTTTTAGTTGAAAACGGTGTCGTGTAAACGGTCCTCAGTTCGCTGTGGTGATGACATATTCTTGTCGGCCGACAGTATCATCACCCTAGTTCTCTCGACAAAAGATGAATAGGATTTTTCCATTGGCTTTTGGATGGTAATCGCCACGAATGTCACAAAACTTCACCAGAAATAAAATGTTAAACGTAAGTCTATAAACGAACTACAACACCCGTAAGCTTTTCTTTATTTAAAAACATTTCTCCTGAAAATTCCTTGAGTTAGAATGGTTTGCGGGAGCACAGTTATAAACACAATAAGGGTGTGAAGTAGATGAGTTAATCTGTTCGGTGTGATGTTTAATATCCCGACCACCTCTGGAGTCCCATTTAGGCGCTTGTTAGCATCCTAATTTTTCATGACAAGTAAAAGAGAGAAAATATCACAATATATAATAAAATATAGTGTTCTTGTTTAAACCACATACCTTATTTCAGGTATTTAACCAGAAACCCATTCAAAAAAACCATTGACTTCAGGACGATGGAAGTGGAAGTGCTTATCAAACATGAACCATTCAGATAACACAATAAATCTTCCAGCATCACCTCAGGAAATATTTTACCAAAGGGTAAATCTTGAAATCATAATTTGTTTCCACGTGCCAGTTTAAATCATGTCAGCTCACTGTTTCTTATGCCCATCTTACATTTTTTAATAAAGTGCATACTTTTTTATTATATATATATTTTTTAATATAATTCAAACCAAATATTTAAATTTCCTATTTTTCATATTTCTATAAACAGAGAGACACGATGACATCATAATAGAAAACATTTTATTGTTAAAAATAAATTAAAACTGGAGGAAGGTAGAGAAATATATATATACCGTATTTTCTTTATATATATATATATATATAGAGAGAGAGAGAGAGAGAATATGCTTGTAAACATGGCTAGTTTCTCTGTACAACACCAGCCAAAATTGCCATCCCTCTGTTCAAGAAAAGACGAGAGTGTGAAAGAAGAAATACAATTATCATCTTTCAGTGCATTAGAGTATTGGCCAAAAGAAGCGGCTCTGCATACCCAGGCACTGCAGCAAACACTTTCCTTGTGGCTGGTCCCCAAAGTTTTTCTGTAAGACACTTGGGAACCACAGAGCACTAGGGAAGAGACCAAGAACAGCAACACACAGCATCACAGTTGACCTCCAGAGTAAAACATGACAAGACTAATAAATAATACACATTGTTTAAAAGAACTAAAAATGGTTGGGAATGCTTATAATACAGTGGTAAAAAGTGGTGCATAAAATCAAAAGCCATAGTTAATACTGGCCAACCAGTTTACAATTCCTAAATTTAAAATTAACACATTAATCTGTGTCGTACACTTCCTTTATCCTAATGCTGATGAACAAGTGCAATGGTTGATGATGCAATATGATGGGAAAATGAAAGAAAAAGATGGACCAGCAGGACTTGTACCAGAATAATGGCTTCTCCCCACAAGCCATGCGGGCTTCTCTGTAGAATACACCAACAGGCCTAGAGAGGAAAAACCTTAACAAAAGGTTTAGTAGTGCAGCTTTTTGGGCACTTCCCAAGAGAAAGAGTCACGGCCAAAGTGGCCGTACGCAGCAGTCTTCTGATATATTGGCTTCTTCAGCTCCAGCTCCCTAAAACACATTGGCCATGGATTATTGACTCATCAAAATGAAACTGTGTGCAGTTAAAAAGATTATCATGTAGCAAATACTTCAAGTGTGCGTTTGTACACCCAGCCAGCCAGAGAAGAGATGAAGCGGTCACTTACCGTTACACGCACTAGTCACCCTGAAGAAGGAAAGCGCAGCATGAAATAGAGAGCAAGTCTAATAGCAAACACTGGCTAACCACTCGAACCTTTCCGCTTTAGTGTACAATGAATCCAGAGAGGAAACATGACGGCTCTGTTCCACACCAGAGAGCTTTACACTGGACGTTTACTAACCACAAGTGACTAATTTGAAACAAGTAGAGATATAAAGTGCATGAGAGACTCTAATGCTCACGGTCATTGAGTGCAACCGCCAGATCCCGGAAGTAAAAACTCCTTTCATTTACTCTAGAAAAGCACCGATATGAAAATTTTGTCCGATACCAATAACCGATAATTTGAAAGCCGATAACCGATATATTGGCCGATAAATCTAAATCTGTTCTCATTATAATTTTATATAGCCTATATGAGACAGACTTGTGTTGCACTGAACTGTATTTTAATTTTTTTAAGTGATTCCATATGGAGGACCAACTCTACCATATTTAAAAATAAATACAGAAATAAATAAATGCTCAATAAATAAATAAGCATACAATTAATTGCCCCAAAAAATACAATAAACTACAGAATAATAAAGACCCCTTAAGACACAGCCCCTCCTCATTTGCATAATGAGGCAGAAATGCATACAGAAATGTAAAAACGACAGGCAGAAATAAATAGCATTGAAGAAAAAAATAGGGTAAAAAAATACAAAGGAAGAATAAAACAGACAAAAATATTATAACATGCACATAAATAAATACTTAAAAAAATAAGTAATTAATAAATAAAGTTGAAGATTATAACGGACAATAAATAAATAAGGTAATTATTACAAAGGTGAATAAATAAAGAAGCTAATTAAAAGAGATATATACATTTTTGTCTCACTCTATAATTTAATTTCTACCTACATTTATTTGTTTATTGTATTATTTGGGGCAATTAATTGTATGCTTATTTATTTATTGAGCATTTATTTATTTCTGTATTTATTTTTAAATATGGTAGAGTTGGTCCTCCATAATTCCAATCATATTTCAAGCAATTAAAAAACATCATGTTGAACAGTGCGCATCTGAAGCGTCTCAGCTGAAGGAAATAATACATTATTTATTGGCTTCAATATATCGGCTAAATTGTTTTATTGGGCCGTATATAAAATATATATATATATATATATTTATTGTAAAAATGAACATGTGTCAACCGATACCTCATTAAATCTGATACATCATTAAAAATCAATTCCTCTTTGGAGAAAATTAGGATGCAATACATATTTGGCCACCATATTGGTATCGACCGATACTAATATGGTGGCCGATATGTATTGCGTCCTAATTTTCTCCAAAGAGGAATTGATTTTTAAAGATGACTTATAAACCATTACAGAATACAGACAGTCCTACTGTGAGCTCCGAAGTTGGTAATATGCTTTTGATGAAGCAATCTGTTTGCATTATTTCAAGTTATTCTTTTAAATAATTGTTTAACAGTGGAATTTGTGGTGAAAACTACATTACCCATGATGCTGTACGGAATATTTAACCAATCAGAGAGTCGCGCTGAGCAAACCACACCAAAAGAGCTTAGCAGGGAACACCCAGTTCAATGAAGCTCGGCAAATTGCGTAATCAAGTTGGCTTTGCTATTCTCTCAAAACACTTAAATATCTGTATATATAACTTGCATATAACTTTAAAGAATTCACCTTATTGCTGGTTGGCTTGGTTAATGACTTATAATGCTTTAACAAAGACTTTTTTTTAAATCTCTATGGGAAAAATGAACAGAAAAAATACTTCCAGAACCAACGCCACTGAAAAAGTGGACAGGCACTAATGCACTTTACTCCAAACAAGTTTGACTTTAGCATTTAGACTTAAAGTATTAGTTCACTTTTAAAAAAACTTTTGCTGATAATTTACTCACCCCCATGTCATCCAAGATGTCCATGTCTTTCTTTCTTCAGTCGAAAAGAAATTAATGTTTTTGATGAAAACATTCCAGGATTTTTCTCCATATAATGCACTTTGCTGGGCCCCAAACGGTTCAAGGTCTAAATGACCGTTTCAGTTCAGCTTCAAAGGGCTTTAAACGATACCAGACGATGAATACGGGTCTTATCTAGCGAAACGATCGGTCATTTCAAAAATAAATAAAAAAGTTAAAGTTTTATAGGCACAAATGCTTGCCTTGCGAACTCTCCTGTTCGAACTCATTCATCAAAATGAACGAATCTTTTTTCGAGTCATTGACTCGTCCATCAAAATGAACGAGTTCGAACAGGAGAGTTTGCAAGGCGAGCATTTGTGCCTATAAAACTTAAACTTTTTAATTTATTTTTGAAATGACAGATCGTTTCTCTAGATAAGACCCGTATTCATCGTCTGGTATCGTTTAAAGCCCTTTGAAGCTGAACTGAAACGGTCATTTAGACCTTGAACCGTTTGGCTACCATTGAAGTCCATTATATGGAGAAAAATCCTGGAATGTTTTCATCAAAAACATTAATTTCTTTTCGACTGAAGAAAGAAAGACATGGACATCTTGGATGACATGGGGGTGAGTAAATTATCAGCAAAAGTTTTTTTAAAAGTGAACTAATACTTTAAGTTTGACTAAGCTAACAACTCAATATTCACAAAGTATAAAAACACGCAGATTTTGGGTAAAAATGTGAATTCTGTTATTAGATTAAGTTAATTAGGGTATTGTCTTATCTGTGACATACATGCAATGCTCATATTCTGGCCAATGGTATTTTGTAGGGCAGAATAATTTTGCTGCCAGGTTGTAACAGCCTTCTCGACAGGCCTATTTAGGTAATAATGTCTAGGTAGAAGCTCTCTATGGTTTTAAACAGAGCCGATCATGTTATGTTACAAAAGTTTAAGGGATTTTAAAAGTTGGTACTAAAATAAAAAAACAATACTCATCTTTCTACAATGTATGTACTGACTGCTTTAAAAGTGTGTGTGTGTGTGTGTGTGTGTGTGTGTAATAATCATGTTGTAACAATTCCAGTAATTTAATTTTTATTTTACATTATTACTTTTCAATTTCTGAATGTCTACTTTAATACTTGATGCTGTATTTGTCTATACGAACATCATGCACTGTTTGGGGTCAGTAAGACCAATTCCTTGCTTTTCATTCTATTATTGACTCTTTATGCACTGAATAATTGCATTGAAAATTATTGCATTGAGTTATTATAATCTGTCTGATGGAATCGAGGGATGCAAAGACCCAAAAAGGTGAAGCACAGACAGAAGCAAAAGAAAAAGGAGAGATTTACACCCAAACCTGTGAAGCTGAAGGATGAAGAAATATAAAAGCGAGTGAGAAGAGTGTATAAAGACAGCAGCGGTTACCTCACAATCACTCCTGGACGAAGATCAAAGTTTTTCTTGACTATTTTCAGCAGCTCCTGCTCACTCTTTTGGGATGTGCCATAGTGGAAGATGGAAATGGAAAGAGGATGAGCCACTCCGATGGCATAAGCAACCTATATCATAGTGAAGGAAATATCATACATATATTGATTTAAATATTTGCTTTTACTGCTTTTAATGTTCCTTGATGATTATTTTTGTATTTGACTTCTGTTGGTATTTTTGATTTTCTTTTGCTATTTAGTTTTTGCTGTTTAAAATTGTCTCTGATTTTATTTGTGATATTAGTTTTCTACTGCTTTTGCTTGTGTTTATTTGATCCGATGTTGTAAAGCACATTGGTCAGCTGCTGCTGTTTTAATGGTGCTATATAAATAAACCTAACTTAAATGTTATACTTGCTCAGCAGAACACACAATATCTGGTTAACTGACCTGCACAAGAACACGCCTGCACAGTTTGGCCTTCACTAGAGATTTGGCCACCCAGCGGGCAGCGTACGCAGCAGAACGGTCCACTTTAGTGTAATCCTTTCCAGAGAAAGCTCCTCCACCATGGGCTCCCCAACCTCCATAGGTATCCACGATAATCTTACGACCAGTCAGGCCGGCGTCACCCTACATCAGTGGAATAGCGTTTATATTAGTGTGAGGAAAAAATAAACAACACCTTGCTACTCATTCATGTACGTATTACAACTGGTCACTACCTGAGGGCCTCCAATGACAAAGCGGCCACTGGGCTGCAAGTGGTAGATGGTATCATCATCCAGATAAACGGAGGGGACCACGACTTTGATGACTTTATCTTTGAGCGCATCACGCATCTCATCAAGACAGATGTCTTCATCGTGCTGCACAGAGACTACAATAGTGTGGACCCGCACCGGCAGCATGGCTCCACGCTCCTGTCTGTACTGCACAGTAACCTGTACACAGAGACATGTCGCACTGTCAGGACACACACTCCACACAAGTACCTGCGTGCACTTCTAGCTATGTTGTTCGAAAAAGAAGGAAAAAAATGTTCAATTTTTTTATGTTCAAAAAACACATTTTGTGTTCTGAAATGCAATACCCAGCATTGCTGGTCACCAGGATAAGGTATGTTGTGCATGCTGGGAGCAGATTGGGAAGCATGAGTGTTAGTGAACCAGCTACGCCAGCTCAGTTCTGCTTGAGAACAGCTGCATACCAGCTAGACCAGCTCTAACCATCAGAAACCAGCCTGGACCAACATGGAAATCATTTTTTTTTTTTGATAAAGGCGGCATCAATAATTTACTTCTAAAACGTGAAACCTTCTGGATTTACACATTAGATACTATGGCACCTAGGGGATTAAATGAAGCATTTGATATTCGCCCGTTTCTTTAAGATTTGCTCTTGATTTTGTTTTGTTTTTTGTGTTGTTTTTTTGGTCTATGCAGGTATCCCTATATACATATATATTAATTTTGTTAAATTCGACTTTCACATTAAGTATGTATAATTTTTCCTTTGTCTTTGGTATTGGTATCATTTGTAAAAAAAAAAGAAAAAAAAGAAAAAGATTTTTATTTTGTGGTCACCTGTGAGTATAAAGGCGGGGTGTGTTTAACTTTTAATTTTTAATTGTCTGACGACGAGCCTACGTGCTCGAAACGTTACCACCTGTGTGAGTCTATTAAATCTTTTCACATTTTTGGAGCCAAGGTGTGCCGACTTTCTTTCCTTTTTTTTATTGGGAAATTGATTTTTAATGATTATAATTATTATTATAAAGCGTTCTAATGATTATACACATACAGACAGACCTAATGTGTGCTATGAGGTTGTTACCTGATGGTATACTTTAGTTGTCTGTTTGCGATATTTCAAATTATTTTTTAAATAATCATGTTAACATCTGAATTTGTGATGAAAAATGACATTACCCATGATGATGTGTATATATATATATATATATATATATATATATTTTAGTGCTGTCAAATCGATTACTTGCGATTAATCACATCTAACATAAAAGTGAATGCTTATATATGTGTGTATTTCATTATATATGATCACTTGTTTGGGCTTGCGAGCCGGCCAAATAGTTGGTTAACGTTACGTTTTGAGTGGATGACGAGCGCGAGACGCTGAATGGAAAGTTTACTTTTAAAAAGTTGCCAAATGGTTCCATTGATGAGACCAAAGTGATCTGTGTGTTTTGTCATTGTGAACTGAGCGATCATCATCAATGTGCGATTAATCGCGAGTTAACTATGGCATTAATGCGATTAATCGCGATTAAATATTTTAATCGTTTGACAGCACTAATATATACATATAAACATATGTATATACATATATATTATATACACACAAACTTTTATGTTATAAGCGATTAATCGATTTGACAGCACTAATATATATATATGCATATTTATTTGATATAAACTAAAAACATATTGCTTCTATAGATATAATCAACAACTTTAAAAGAATTGTTTTATATTTCTCCAACATTTTTAATTTAATTATGCAGTTCACAAGCATAAAGGGAATTTAGTTATTTCCCTCACTGTCTTTTTGTCTGATTTTTAAATCCTTTTTTTGCTTCAAATTAAAAATGTTGAATGTTATGATTGACCTCATTGCTGTTTAGTTTGACTAATGGCTTATAACGTTTTTTTAAGAAAGACTTAAAAATCCAGCAGACCTGAGTCTTGGAGTCGGGCCGGAGCCAGGGCAGGGTGCCGTTGCGCCTCAGTTCTGCCAACTTGGCATTAAGTTTGTGTGCGAGCACAATAGTGAGTGGCATACATTCCTCAGTCTCATCAGTGGCATAACCGAACATTAGACCCTGAAAGAATAACAGGAAATATTAATATTGAAATAAATTTAATTAAAAGAGTTGACAGTTTTTGGACCGCACTGAATCACCTGGTCGCCAGCCCCAACGTCCTCTTCACTGCGGTCTAAGTGAACTCCCTGGGCGATGTCTGGAGACTGCTGCTCCAGGGCCACCAGAACATTACAGGTCTTGTAATCAAAGCCTACGGGTTCAGGACAGACAATATAGATCTGATTCAGTTGCTCCCATGACATTTTTTTTAGTTTGTTTGTTACCTTTCAGAAGTACACTACCACCATTCAAAGGTTTGAGGTCAGTAGGATTATTTGAATAATTAAATTTAAATGAAAACCATTTTTTTAAGTTAAACTAAAACCATTCATTCAAGTTAAACGAACACCATTGATTCTAGTTGGTTGTACAATGCAATAATAACAATAATTAGTTGGTTGTACATGGTTGGGTCTATTGGGTCAATCACGTGGAATCACTGTCCTAGGAATATATTGTCCTATATTGTCCAAAAAAATTATTTTTTTTGAGTGAATGATTTCTGAAGGATCATGTGACAATGAATACTGGAGTAATGATGCTGAAAGTTCAGCTTTAATCATTACATTTTAAAATATATTCACATCGAAAAGAGTTGTAAATTCTACTAATATTTCACAATATGTATTTTTGATCAATTAAATGCAGCCTACACAACATTTTAAAAATCTTACCGACCCCACACTTTTGAATTCTAGTGTAAACGCTGCAGTATCTATAATAAAATGCAGTATCATCAAACAAACCCTTGGATGAGTCGTCGTAGCCGATGTGTTTTATGGTGTCACGGACCACCTTTTGATAGTCTACAACAGCACGAGACGTCACCTCTCCCGCCAGCAAAATCATTCCAGTCTTGGCTACAGTTTCTAGAAGAAAAACAATGAAAAGGGGCCATGAAACTCTCTCATTCAGACCTCGCAAAACTCGAGAAATTCAAGTCAACATACCACAAGCCACTTTTGCATCTGGGTCTTGCTTCAGGTGAGCGTCCAAAACCGCATCACTTATCTGGTCACATATCTTATCTGTACAATGCAATAATAACAATAATTAGTGATTTCTTTATACACACATAAGAAACAGGAAGAAAATATACTGTGTAATTATAATTAACTACATGTACTTACTATAGGGTTAGGAATAGGGTTTGGTTTGGGCTAGTTACATTTAATTATGCATCATTTACTTTTTTTCCTAAAGTAATTAAATTTAATATGTAACAAGAATATTGTAAAATAAAGTGTTGCTGAAAAAAACCCACACCTGCAACTTCTTTCCTGGTTAATTTAGATCAGTTTTAGAATTTCCTAAAAATTAATATTTTAATTTTAAATTATATAACAGTTTGCTGATGTACTGCAGGTGTTTAGGAATGTCGTGGTATTTCGCTGTTAACCCTGTTAGTGACATTAACAAGAATATCTTGTATTTGTGGTTCACATTTGAAGAGCTAGTTGGCTATTTGAAGATTAAATAAGGGCTTTTCAGTGTGTTATACAACTTTACAATTTTTGTTTTATTATTATTTTTATATTTTATTATTTTTGCAAATTTATGAAGTAGAAGTTTTACATAATCTAAGATATTCTGTGTTCAATTGCTTTTTCTACTGAATGTTCAAGTGTCACAACAAACTAAAAGAAATAAAAATGTTTCCATGAAATAAAAACAAAATGGTTGCACTTTATTTTACAGTACGTGCACATTAGTGTACTTATCAACGAAAGTACAGGGTAATATAAGGTAATATAAGTTATTCTTATTACTATAATAAGTACATATGGGGAACAGGACTGTAAAAGAAATTGTAACAAAATTGTAACGACCAAAACCATTTCTGAAACAAACTAAAAAATAACCTTCATGGTACATTTTTGTTATTTTGGAGATACCAGTTTTCTTTCACTTTCAGTGCAGATGATGAAATAACCGAGTTCTTTTCTGCAGATAAAACCATATGAATAATAACGCAGAGTGGGCGGAGTCTGCACTGAGAAAGCATGTTTGATCCCACGTGTCGCGAGGCTGTGTCTCAATACAATACCTGGACAGCAGAGAGAGAGCGAGAGAGAGAGAGAGAGAGAGAGAGAGAGAGAGAGAGAGAGAGAGAGAGAGAGAGAGAGAGAGAGAGAGAGAGAGAGAGAGAGAGAGAGAGAGAGAGAGAGAGAGAGAGAGAGAGAGAGAGAGAGAGATGCACTTTCTCCTACAATGTGAAGCGTTCAAAGACACAAGGAACCTTTACTTTGAAATTTGGGATTATATAGTTAAATTTGTTAAAGACCTGAATGAAATTTCTAAATTAAACTTTCTCCTGGGAGAAGGAGACAGAACCTATCTTGCTGCCCAATATGTACAAACATGCCACAACCTGAGGGGCAGTGAATGACCGACACACACACACACACACACACAAATATATCCAACATTGTGTTAAATGTTTATATATAATATATATATATATATTATATATTTTATTTGTATATTTTGTATATGCTTTGGCAACATTGTTTCAAAAACTTTCATGCCAATAAAGCCCCTTTGAATTGAAAAAATTGAGAGAGAGAGAGAGAGAGGAGAGAGAGAGAGAGAGAGAGTGTGTGTGTGTGTGATGATGAGAACATGCTGTCTAGGATGGCAGCTCACTAGTTTTTGAGACACAGCCATGGAAACAAAAGTACAATCGCGTTTCCAAGTCTACAGCACATCAGACTGATGTTAATTTATTCTGAGCATTAATGAATTATATGTACATGTTTGCAAACCAAAGCAAATACAGTTATATGGTTATAAAAAAAAAATCGAATGAAATAATAAGGAAAATAGAACCGTACGTTATTACAGTGAACATGCAGAACAGGTGCTGCTATGTTATGCAATAGCGGAGTTGAATACTGTAACGTCACCCAAAGCTTAGTTTGGATATTAGTTTACCTGGATGCCCTTCTCCAACGGACTCCGATGTAAACAAGAAGCAGTCCTCCTCAATAAGAGAGTTATGGAACCCGTTAATTTCTCCGTTGCCGTTCATCATTTTTAGTTTCTTTTGTGTTGTAGGCTACTTTACTCAATCGTTTGGAAAGCGCAGGAAATCTGTCACCCCTCTGAGGAACGCGGGAGTATTTATGGAACGGCCCGTCTCGCGTCATCAGGGGCGCTCTTTCGTCCTCTCGGGTGACTGGACGAAACCATGTTGCGCGGAGGGGGTGTGACACAAAAATCTGTGGGGCAGTATGGTTATATGTCAAGAATGATGTAAACTTGCATGGGATTGCACTCGCAGCGAAGTCCACAAACACACTCTTGCGCAACGTGCTTTCATAACAAACATTTGAAAACATTAAGGTACGTATTTACACAGAAACATACACCAAATAATACGACACTAACAAAAACTTACCGTGATAAAACCACTTATTTTCTTGACATGTATATCATACATTTAGTACATGAAGACGTACATGAAGTGTGATCAGTGTAATCTTTGAAGTAAATATCATATCATGAATATTAAAACGTGCCACTCTAATAATGCTGGGTTGTTTCAAGCCATGTTTGGGGTCAAATATGGACAAAAACAAATGGTTGGGTTGGGTTTGTCCATATTTGACCCAAACATGGGTTAAAGCATTTTTTAGTGTAAGAACCTGGTAAGAACTCACATTTGCACAACTTTTATTTTTAGCAATGAAGACTTAAAATATAATTAACCATTAGGATACTTGGTTTTATACATACTTACTGTAATACAGTGATAGTCTAACAAATTATAGGCTACCATGTTTTGGACACGCACCATGGTAATCTTATTTTTTGAAGGACATTGGAGTATCATGTAGCCTAAACAAATGTACAAACTTACACAACTCTTAGTGATAACAACAAAGACTTCAAAACATCATTAACCATTAGGCCTACTTGTTAAGGTTTTGCACACATAATAATAAACTTCTGCTTTAACAAAATGTGCAAATTACCATGTTTATGACATGTACTTTAGGAGTATCATATAAACAACATGGTATATGATTATGAAATCCATGTTACCTCACGATCTTGTGGTGAAAACAAGCATCATTCAAATAAATAGGCATGTTATAATGGCCTAATTGGCTACTGCAATAACACAAAAGAACCAGAATGACCATGAAAAACATTCATACAATAATGCATATAGGCCTAATTTATCTCATTATCATATCTTATTTGATGTTTCTTGGAATATCATGTAAATGTCATTATGAACTCCCTGTGAACACAGTCTTGCGCAACTTACCGTGAAAACATTGAAGTGCACTTAAAAACATGATAAACCATAATGTTTGCTTCAGAGGAAACCAAAATACAATTACAAGAGATAAAATGGATGCCCTGGAGATTTGTCATGCTTTATCGGCTGTTCTGATGTGATTTGAAGAAAGGTAAAGTGTATATCTGCTTCTCACTTGAGCATTGCCTCTTTTGTTAATATTGCCATGGGGGAAAACTGTGTTCGATTTCTACCAATTATGTCTCAGCGCTGAGAAAGGACACGTTACTGAAGCAAAGTTACTTGATATTGATCTGAACTGAAGCCATCTCTGAACATCCTCTATAGATGAGCTTCATAACCACCATGTCATGTCAGCAGTTCTGTACTTTTGTACCTTGAAGGAATAGTTCATCTAAAAACTCCCAAAATGACAAATTTCCCCAAACAGTCTGGGTTGTCAGTAAGATTTTTTTTAAAGAAATAAATAACTGTATTCAGCAAGTGACAGTAAATACATTTATAATGATTTCTACTTCAAATAAATGCTGTTCTTTTGAACTTTCAATTCATCAGAAAATCCTGAAAAACAAATGTTTCATGGCTTTTCAACATTGATAATAATCAGAAATGTTTCTTGAGCAGCAAATCATCATATTAGAGTGATTTCTGAAGGATCATGTGACGCTGAAGACTGGAGTAATGATGCTGAAAATTCAGCTTTGATCACAGGAATAAATGACATTTTACAATATATTCACATGGAAAATAGTCATTTTAAATTGTAATAATGGTAACACTTTACAATAAGGTTCATTTTTAACTACCTTAGTTAACATGAACTAAGAATGAACAACACTTCTACAGCATTTATTAATCTTAGTTAATATTAATTCCAACATTTACTAATACATTATTAAAATCAAAGGTTGTATTTGTTAACATTACTTAATGCACTGTGAACTAACATGAACAAATGAGGAACAGCTGTATTTTTATTAACTAACGTTAACAAAGATTAACTTAGTAACAAATGTATTGATCCTTGTTAGTTCATGTTAGTTAATACATTAACTAATGTTAACTAATGAACCTTAATAAAGTGTTACCGTAATAATATTTCACAATATTACTGTTTTTACTGTAAATGCAGCCTTGGTGAGCAGAAGAGTCGTCAGTAACACTTTATTTCGATGGCCCACTTTAGACATTCTACTAACTATAAATAACTTTGCATACAAAAACGCATAATAAATGTACTAAAAATTTGGAAATAATTGTGTTTTTCGCGTACAGACGACAATGTTCTCCACGAAAACGATTAAAAATGCTGCATTCTGCTGCCCATGTCACTTTGTAAAGAAACTGTATATAGACTGAACATGTAACACATGCTCATGACGTCACCGGTTTCACCAATTCACGTTTTTGTAGTTTACACTGAGACGATAACGGTATCGTTTTTTAAAAACTTGCACTTTGAAACTCATTTTCAAAAGTTTGCGCTTTCAGCCTCCAAAACGCTGTCGTCGTGTAAATGAACGGCCAAAACGCTAAAAAGTTTCGAGTTTTAGTTGAAAATGGTGTCATGTAAACGGCCCCTAGGTAGACTGTCTGCTTAATATCTGTGCATGCATGTAATATAACACTTTATTCTGATGCTCCCCAACAGACATTATAACTTTAATTACAACTACATGTCAACTCATTCTACTAACCCAAACAGCTACTACCCTAACAGTCTACTAATACTCTAATGAGAGATAGTTGACATGTAGTTGCAAAGTTACTTATAGTTAGTAGAAAGTCTTAGTTTAAAAAACATTAAAAAAAAAATCAAAATTTTGCACGGTTGAACTAACAGTAACCAAGATTGGCTACAGCGCTTAAAGGAAGGTCATGACACCACCGGTGCGTTCCTCATCTGACACTTGATCGATACCAAAGTGCAATGTCATTAATAGTTGCATAATCCAAACGATATAGTTCTGTTTAGTGGGTCAAAATACAGGTTATTAGCCTGACATAATCACCTTATAAAACATGGAAGCAATTAAAGCGTGCAGAATTTCAGGCTTACACTTCACTTCATAACTTTGCACTTTAAATATCATTATTATAGTATTTATCATTGCAGAAATGAGAAAGAGCATTCCAGTAGGCTTTATTCTTTACGTGAAACATCATTTTTTTTTAATAATTTTTCACCCAGGTCTGTGATTTGCGAATAGATGTCCTCATTATAGACTTGATTGTCATATATTGCCATTTACTAGGCCATTTACTGTATCATCATCTATATTCATACATTCTCCCTCCGCAATCCACCAATTCTTATCATGTTATTCCTTTTCTGATGAACCAGACTGCATGTAAAGACACAAAACAGATATTTTATTGAAAATCTGTTGTGTCATATTAGAGCAGCAATTCTGATTCAGATGCAATCTTAAATTGACAGTGACTCAGGTTTTTTATTCAGTATGACGCATAAAAAGAAAGATTTCCGAGCCAGGCTATACGTGTGTGTGTGTGTGTGTGTGTGTCCTTGACGCGGTCAGGATGAGCCAGCAGTTTATAGGCACAAATCTCCAGCACAATGGCACAGCTCAACACCACACCTCTCAATCCAGACAAGTGTTGCATCAGAAACGGGCAAACACTGATACTGTATATACAAACGCTTCCGTGATTACCGTTCTCATGATCAGGCTGTTTTTCTTATCAATCTCCCTTTTAAATAGCATTACATAACACCAGGGGAAGTTTTCTTTAGTTATGTTATATGAGGTAAACCCTGTTGTTCAACACTGATGATTGACAGTTTGAATTCACTCAATGACAAGTCCAGCCTTGTGTCTGGTTTCATTCACTACGTGTTCGTACCATCTTTGCTATCTTTACTTTACAGTTGCAGTCCTAAACAAATAACCTTCTGGAAAAAAATCTTATTGCATAACATGTAATTCAGGGCACATTAAAATGTATTATTGCAGGAGTAATCTGTGTGATATGCATGTTATTCCTCTGGTGCTGTTTTTACAAATTTACAACATTCTTACAAATATATATATATTTACTTTATCTGAATGGTACGAAACTTGGTAAAGGTTTTGCGACTTGCTGTGTGAACACACACACACATACACACAAATCATTGACATGATATAAAAAGGTTAAACGGTCCTGAAAAAAATAGTCACACTTGTAAAGGACGTATAAAAAATGCATTTTATCTAGTGGAAATGTTTGGTACTGCGCCCAAACAAAATCTCACCGAAAGCACATTTTTTTAAATATAAAAAGAACACAACTTGTTTAGATTTATGGCTTTGATTTTCTCACAGTTTTAGAGTAAAACGTGTGAAAAAATATAAATATTTCATATAAAACATGAAAATGGTATTTTTGTGCATTTTTCATAACAATAAATGTAAAATTGTATACATTTTTTTTTCAAGTTCACTTTTTAAAACTTTTTTCACTTCAGAAATAATCTTCCAGGTTTCGTCTTTAATAAGAGACCAAACTTGCTCCAAAAAAAATCCAGATTCAAGAGGTGATAATTTCTCCATGGTCCAAGGTCCATGCTCAAAAAGTGAATAAATTAATTATTACTACTGCATAAATATAATTTAATACCATAAAATACCCTAAAAATACAAAATATTGAATAAAAAATATTATCGAACTAAAATATAGTGCAAATTCGTATTTTTGACCGACACGCGAACAGTACGATTGTTTGTCATTTGCCAATATATATAAAATATGAATTCACAGTAGTGGCGGAAAGTGATGTCCGGTGGGGATATTTGTAATTATTGACCCTACAAGTTTGAATAAACCATCAAA